TAAGCTCTTGAAACGATTTTTCACAAGTTTCACTCCATACAAATTTGACCCATTTCCGCGTCAATCTAGTCAAAGGCGAAGCTAGTTTGGAGAAATCTTTTACAAACCGACGGTAATACCTGGCCAACCCCAAGATACTACGGATCTCAAAAACAATCTTAGGTTGTGCCCAATCCTGCACCGCCTCTATCTTGGATGAATCAACAGTCACCCCTTCCCCGGATACCACGTGGCCTAAGAACTTAACCTCTCTTAGCCAGAACTCACATTTCCTAAGCTTGGCATACAACTTATGGGCTCTAAGCAACATAAGCACCACTCGCAAGTGTTCCTTGGGCTCCTCCTTAGAAGGTGAATAAATCATAATGTCGTCCACAAAGACGACTACAAAGCGATCTAAGAACTCTCGGAAGATCCGGTTCATTAAATCCATGAACACAGTCGGTGCATTGGTAAGCCCAAAAGGCATCACCAGAAACTCATAATGGCCATACTGCGTACGGAATGTTGTCTTCGGGATATCCTCTTCCCTGACCCTCAACTGATGGTAGCCCGATCTCAAATCTATCTTAGAGAAACAACGAGATCCTTTCAACTGATCAAACAGATCATCTATACGAGGCATATGGTACTTGTTCTTAACCATAACTCGGTTCAATTTTCGGTAATCAATATAAAGTCTCAAGGCCCCATCTTTCTTCTTAGCAAAGAGGGCCAGTGCTCCCCAAGGTGAAGTACTAGGGCGAATCAAAGCTTTATCTAGTAATTCCTGAAGCTGAATCTTTAACTCAATCAACTCAACTAGGGCAAAATAATATGGTGCCATAGAAATCGGTGTCGTGCCAGGCACTAGATCAATAGAGAACTTGATCTCTCGGTGAGGTGGCAAACTAACAAGATCCTCGGGAAAAACGTCCGAGTACTCACAAACCACTTTTGGCAACTCAACCTGGGCCACAACACACTCACTACTCATAAAGCTAGCGAGAAGACAACTAAGCTCACTCCGCCCTCGCGGTTCATACACGGTGGTAAAACTCTACCAACCCGATCCCCCAAGAAATGAAAGCAATCACTGCTCAAGGTACATACAGTAACCCTCTGACAGTAACAATCTATAATAGCCCGGTATGACGATAGCCAATCCATACCCAAAATAACATAAAAACTAGACATATTCATCAAGATAAAAGAAAATGGAAGTCGGCGATCGACGACCTCTATATCACAGTCCCGACATCCCTGTTTCAAAATCATCTCGCCCCCAATAGGTGATACAACACATCAAGGAGATACTAAATGTGCCAACTCCAACCCCAAACTGATGCAAATGCAGAAGATATAAAGGAATGAGATGCACCCGTATCAATCAACACATTAGCAACCGAGTTGCAAAACAAGAAAGTACCTCTCATAACAGATGGAGCTGGTACAAGATTTGGCACTATAACAGCAAACACGCGTCCTGAAGGCCTCTGATCTACCTGCTCACCTATCGGAGCATAAGACTGCTGTACTGACTGAGCCGAAGAGGCTCCCTGATTGGCTCTCGAGGCCTGAACCGACTGAGCTGGCTGGTGACTCTATGTCTGCCTCAAACCAGACGCACCAGGTGTGCCACCCAACTGTGGACAAAACCTCTTCAAATGCCCTACCTGCTCACACTGATAACAAGTGAGCGGTTGGCCTTTACCCTGACTCTGGCCTTGAGAACGGGCTGAAGATGATGCTGCACGCTGCCCTCCTTCCTTCTGCGGGCAAACTGGAGGCATGTGGTCCAACTGACCACACTTGAAACAAGTGATATCTCCCTGACCGCCACTCTCTGAACCTGAACACAGCATTGGAAAGGTAGATCTCGAGTTCGCTCCCTGGGACTGCTGAAGATTAGAACCCCTCTGCCTCTGGTTGTCCCCTTGACCATCATGACTCCGCCTGGAGCCCCTCATCCTCTCCTCCTCTACGTGCATAATAGTCTCAAGATGGGCTATGGCCTCCACAAGGCGCCCATACTTCCTAATCATGGACCCGGCTACTCGAAACAAGAGTCCGGTCCGCAATTTCTTCTCAAACTCCAAACATTGACGCTTCTCAGTCGCCACCAATTCCGGTGCAAATCTCGATAAGCTAGTGAAAGTGGCCTCAAACTCAGCTACTGGTGTATTCAGCTGCTTGAGCTGATAGAACTAGCCCCTCAACTTCTCCTGGAAGGCGTCAACAAAATTCTCCCAAGTTCTTCCAATATGCCCTCATGCAAACTTCCACCACTAACCCACGTCTCCCTTCAGTTGGAAGGACGCCAAGGTCACCTTTAAACCTCCGTCTTCGATGCCAAGTATCTCAAACGTCTTCACCATCTGCTCTAGCCCCTCATCAGCCTTCAGTGGCTCCTTAGGGTCACCCAAAAACTCATTCGGATTCGACCGGAAGAACTCCCTCTTCATAAAAGATGGCTCTACCTCAGCTACTTGGGCCTGGACTTGATTCTTAGCTCTGAGAATGTCCATAGATTCCCTCAATGCTCCGGCCATTTCACGAGCTAAGGCACCTATGGCCCGCTGACCTACTGGCTCAGCCACATTGGCTTGACCCACTCCTTCCTCCTGCGCCAGAATCTCATTTGGCATAGGCATCTTCTGCCTCCTAGGCCTACCACACCTACCACCACGACCTCGTCCTGACATCCTAGTAAAGGTAACAAAGAGATTAGCACATTTACAAATGTGCCAAAGCTATCTCACTTGCGTTCTAAAGTAATGGACAACTGTAATTCACTCCACATAAGCACATAATCACATAAACACATACGAATTTTCTTTCCGGATAATGACTGTCCTGTGGCGTTGCTAGAGTTCCAGCTAGAAACAGCAGTGATCAAGTGCCTTTCTAACAGGACTCCCAGAAACCTATGGACCAGATCAACATCCTTGAAACCAAATTCCATACCCATATAGTCACATGAGCATGTTATCATCTAAACACATAACATCATACATAAGTCTCTAACAAGAGAGACAAACCCATTGTGGTACTAACCACTTCCCACATATCCAACGTATTTAAACCCGGTACCCTCTGATACCAAGTTGTAATGCCCTCAAAATAATACCTAATCCAATCATGCAATAGATCTATGGACATGATAGATAAGTTACATTTCCATTCATCAGAGCTAATATTACAAAAGGTATTTCATGTAAATTCCAAATGTTTACGACAAAATATGTGCCCTACGGGCTTACATCTTTCCAAGTGAAAACTTGGTTATAACAAAAGAGAGTCCTAGCTCTATACATAGAAAGCCCTTGGCCTGGATATACATTTAACATCAAAACAAAATAACAAAAAAGGAGTCTTCAACTCCTAAACCTCCCAAACTAACACCTTGGAGGCAGCATGTCCCCTGTACCTGAAAAAAATGGTGTCCCAAGTAGGGTGAGCCAAAGCTCAGTAGAGATATGCTAAACAGTATATGAGAATTAACTAAAACATTAGCATCTGATAAATATTTAATACTTGTAAACCAACTTACACCCTTTCTCATAACTAATCAACATTAACACCCATATTTCTATTCACTTGCATTTACTTATCCAAATCAATTCATTGACATAATTCATCATCATCTTAAACAATTCAAAATGAGACTACAACTCATTTACCAACACTTCAATCATAAACATTAATCATACACTTCCATTTCTTGCCATTTTACAGAACTACGTCCAAGGGAACCGGCACCCAAATATATATAAGATTTCGGGATTTTCACCCTAGACACTCCGGCCAACTTAATTATCAATGGAGTCCATCCCTATCTCCTCCCAAACAATGGAGTACATCCCCTATCTCTTCCCAAACAAAGGTACATATACAATGTATTTAAACACGTTGTCATATACAATGACCAATTAAACCACATATTCAATGTTTTAATCCAACCGTCATATTCAATGCCATAATCTGATTAATTAGTTTCAATTTACCTAATCATCATGCAATTTCTACAACAATCATGGCTATCCTTCACCGATAGCCCAAAATAGTTATTTCTAAACAGATAAATAAATGTATCAAACAGATAGTTTATCAACTTTTCCATAAGTGAGTGATTTATCAATCCAACTACACCATTTAATCACAATTTTTCCCAATTTCATATTTCCAACATTGACTTCATTACTCATACAAATAATTTATTTAATTCAACTTAGGGCATTTTTCCCCCTTTCTCAAATATTGCGCCCAAGGCCAAATTTCACCCTTTTTACACATATATTCTTATTTTGAAGACGTCTCATACACATATGAAGCCCAAGGTAGAAAACCTCTCTAACACAATCTCAAACTCAAACCCTAACTTCACCCAAACTTTCCAAAACCAACCATTTCTACAAAATGACTAATATTTAGGTTAAAACTCATATTAAAGAGTAGACTATCCCTACCTCAAATGGAGAAGCTCAAAGAGAAGAAGAGTGAAACTTGAAGATGCTCCAAACTTGAATTTCTTCGAATCAAAATGAAGCCCCCACGATGCTCTACATTTTTAACAAAGGGACTAGGGTAGATAGACCCAAGATCAAGGTGCATTTGTAGAGAGAGAGACAGCCGGATTAGGGTTTGGAGTGAAGAAGAGATCAAAAAGTGATATAAAATAGGGCTGGGCACAGAACCCACCCACCCGCACAAACCGCCCGACCCTACCCTACCCGCAGCCTTTTGGGCGGTTTCGATATAGGTAGGTGGGCGGGTGCGGGTCAAAAATTCTGCCAAAAATTGGGTTCGGGTCGGGTTGCAGTTATGACCCTACCCGAACCGCAAACCGCGACCCGCGTTATATTATAATTTTTTTTTTATATTTATATATTAATATAATAATATTATATATATATAATATATTAAAAAATAAACCTTTATGTTATTTGCCCTACCCTACCCGTGAAAAAAAAGCAGAGCAGCAGCCCGTCTCTATTTCTCTCCTCTCTCCCCCTTTTGTATTTTCCCTTCCCTTCTTAGCTAGCAAGAGCAGCCGGCGATCTGCAGCGCAGCAGCAGCGGCGGCGAGGCAAGACGTCGGCGATCGGCAGCAGCACAGCAACCGGCGATCGGCAGCAGCAAATAACCGGCGATCGGCAGCAAGCAACACAGCCCGGTTCGCTCTCTCTCTCTCTCTCTCTCTCTCTCTCTCTCTCTCTTTTTCATTCGATTTTTGAAATTAGATGTGGATCTGCAGAAACTTGGGTGTGCCAGATTTTGGTTTGGAAGTTTGATTAGATTTTTGAAACTTAGATGTGGATTTGGTTTGGTTTGGAAGTTTGATTTTTTAATAATTTATTGTGGATCTACTTTGGTTTGGAAGTTTGATTAGATTTTTGAAACTTACATGTGGATCTGTCTGGTTTGGTTTGGAAGTTTGATTTTTTAGTCACTTTTTAATATTTTAAGAAAAAATTATATAAAAGTAAAAAAAATAATTTAATAATTTATTGTGACTTTTTAATTAAATTTTTTTTTTTTGATTCAAATGCTTGGTTCCCAATCATCTACATCTACTGATTCAAATGCTTGGAAGTTTGATTTTTTTTTTTGATAACAAATCAGTGTAGTGTGTTAATAATAAAATTTATAACTTTAATTATTAAAGTCATAAATTTTTTCATGCATATATAAATTATAATTATTTTTCAAAAATATACTTGATTTTTAATTTCTTCAAAAAAAATGCTTCCAACTTAACTTTTTTCTTTACACTTTAGCAAAATCAGTGTAGCCAAAAATGAGAATTGGTTATATTTTCTTTACACTTTAGCAAAATTATTTTTACATTTACCATTGGAATTATTCTAAATCATTTTTATAAATAGGAGAAAGAACCATAATGATTAATCAGTGTAGCCAAAAATGAGATGTGGATGGTTTATTTATTTTATAAGACTCAAGTTTATAAGATTGTATTTATTTTATTTTCATGTTGAAAATAGCTGATGCTTTTGCTAGAATTGTTATGGTTTAGATTCAATTATTAATACCATCCATGACTTAATTGTTATCTCATACTTTTTTAATTTTTTATTACCAGTTTGAATGGATAAAGATAACAATGCTAGTTTTGAATCTACCGGAAGCCCTATTGTTCCACCAGAATCATCTAATTCTCAAACTAATGTTTCCCCATCTGAATCTAAGCCTCCTAAACCCCCGAACAAAAGAAAGAATGAGAGTAGTGGTGGGAGAGCACCATCCTCGGTTTGGGACCATTTTGATAAGGTTATAAGAGAAGATGGGAAACGTAGAGCAGTGTGTAAGTATTGTTTTAAAGAGTATATGGCCGATTCTAGGACTCATGGGACTAGTAATTTGAGAAGTCATACCCCTAATTGCAAACAATTTCCAAACAATGATAAAGATGGGCAACAAACATTGAGTTTTAAATCAAAACAAAATGTCGAAGAGGGTGTTGAGGTTGTGGCAACAAGTTTTAGTTTTGAGGCTTGTAAAAGGGCTCTTGCCGAGATGGTGATTATTGATGAGTTACCTTTTCGATTTGTGGAGGGAGTTGGGTTTAAAAGATTTTGTAATGTTGCCGTTCCTAAATTCACACCAATCCCATCTCGTCATACCATAGCAAGAGAGGTGACAAACATATTCTATAGCGACCCCGGTCTTTTCCCATTTGATTATGGTATCCGGACTTAGGTTCCGTAGATTCTATCATTGTATAATGGTTGTTGGCGTCCTTTATTTTCTCATTTGGAGTTGTAGGATGTGTTGGGCAGGATTGTTTCAGGTTGGTTGGGTTCAGAAACCAAGTGTAGCTGTCCAGTTTTTGGGTTGGTCGCTCGAGCGAGTACTTTGTCGCTCGAGCGAGGGTTGTTTTTGTGTCTGGTGGCTCGAGCCAGATTTTCTTCGCTCGTGAGAGCGATTGCGTTTAGTATAAGCCTGAGGGCAGTGTTTCTTCGCTCGAGCGAGATTTCCTTCGCTCGAGTGAGAATTCTGTCGCTCGAGCGTGCTCCTGGGTTGCAGACCTGAAGCATTACATTCTTGGCTCGAGCGAGCTTTTCTTCGCTCGAGCGGGGGGTTCGGGCTGGTATAGACCTGAGGGCAGTGCTTATTCGCTCGAGCGAGATCT